CCTCTGGAGGTTCTTGGCACACTGTGAAGGATCCCTGAGGATGTCAGCAGCTAAAGCAGCAGCTCCGCCACAGGTGGCCTTCCTGGCAGGCCCCCGTGCAGCCTGACCATGTTGGGTCCAGCAGTGTGCAGCGTGGAGACTCTCAGGAGGGCCTGAGAACTGGGCCCAGCACTGCCCTACCACTGCCACTGCATGCTGCTGTCCCTCCCATCCCAGCCGGCACCTTCAGTCCTTCCTGGGTGGGGACTACCTGGACTGTGAGTGCGCAGGGTCCGGTCCGTCTGATGCTCACACAGGCTGTGCTGGCTCTAAGTGAGAGGAGGGGCAGGGATGAACCAGGGTGAGAAGGGCCCAGTGCCCTGGCTGAGGCCGCCCCTGCCTGTGGAGTGCAGTTCTCTGAGTTATTGATCATCACTGCAGCTTGTCCATCAGGCAGCTCGGAGCTTCCTGCACATCCTCTTTCTCAGTAGTGTCTGTCTTAGGTTCTCAAGGGCTGGGTTGTGTCTCATGTCCCTTGCATTCACCAACAGGACCTCTCTGTCTTTCTCCTCCCCTCTGTTTTCCTCTTTCTCCCTCACTCTTTCTCTTTCTGTGTGTCCCTGAGTATTCTGTCTGTCTGTCTCTGTCTCCTCTATCTCTGTTCTTCTCTGTCTGTCTCTGTCTTATTTGTTTAATAATACAACAGATATTTCCTAAAAGCCTACAATGTACAAAATGCCACCACGTTGGGAGGGTGGGGCAGGGCAAGGGGATGGCTGTTTTGAGGAACTCCCTGTCCAGTGTGACAGATGGATCATTTATTCACTGCTTACTTATTCAGGACACATTTGTCAAGCATCTCCTATGCGCCAGGCACTGCTGGGTATTAAATATAGAACGATAAATATACAATAATAAACCAGAAAAAGTGGCTGGGTGCGGTGGCGCATGCCTGTAATCCTAACGCTGGGCGTGGTGGCTCACGCCTGTAATCCTAACGCTTTGGGAGGCTGAGTTGGGTGGATTACCAGGTCGAGAGATCGAGACCATCCTGGCCAACATAGTGAAACCCCATCTCTACTAAAAATACAAAAATTAGCTGGGCATGGTGGTGTATGACTATAGTCCCAGCTACTCAGGAGGCTGAGGCAGGAGAATTACTTGAACCCAGGAGACGGAGGTTGCAGTGAGCTGAGATCGCACCACTGCAGCCTGGCGATAAAGTGAGACTCTGTCTCAAAAATAAATAAATAAAATAATAAATAAATGAAACAGAGAAAGCTCCTGCACACAAAAGCATAGACTGGAGATGGACAGACCAGTCAATGCACAGAGAGAGAAGGACATTCTGTCTATCAACGTGAAAGGAGAGAGCAGGGGTCCATGCTTTGGGGAATGGTGGCCAGGGCTGGGAGGCAGGGAAGGGCTCTCTTGGAAGATCATGTGTAAACCCAGGATTGCAGGACAAGAAGGGACCTGCAGCAGCAAAGACCGAGAGGAAGAGGAAGAGAGCTCCAAGGAAAGGAAACAGCAGGTGCAAGGGTCCTGGGGAGGGAAGGAGCTTGCAGGAGTCATGGCGGCACAGTGTGGACATCCCGTAGCTGGGGTACGTGTCAGCCGGTGCAGCATCAGGGATGGAGCTGTCACCTGTCTTCACCGTTGAGTTAGGAATGGCCTCACCAAGGAGGGGACATATCAAGTGAGTTCTGAAGGGTGGCCGTAGCTCAACATGTAGGGAAGGTGGGGAAGGAAGGCAGCCCCTGGCGCCACTGCAGGAAGTCATGAGAAAGCAGGGTGGGTTTAGGGAAGCTGGGTGTGGGCGAATCAGACCTTAGAGTCGGTAGCCGGAGCAGACTAGCAGGAAATAAAGACAGGAATTTGAACCGGGACCATTTATTTTAATGAGGATTTTGTATCCAAAAGGAGACATTAGGCCAGGTGCAGTGGCTCACACCTATAATCCCAGCATTTTGGGAGGCCGAGACGGGCAGATCATGAGGTCAGGTGATTGAGACCATCCTGGCCAACATGGTGAAACCCCATACAAAAAATTAGCTGAGCGTGGTGGTGTGAGCCTGTAATCCCAGCTACTCGGGAGGCTGAGGCAGGGGAATTGCTTGAACCCGGGAGGTGGAGGTTGCAGTGAGTGGATACCGCGCCACCGCACTCCAGCCTGGTGACAGAGCAAGACTCTGTCTAAGATAAGATAAGATAATAAGATAAGATACATTAGACTTTATGCTGAGGGCAGTGAGGGGCCATGGAAGGCTTTGAAGAGAGGAGGGTTGAAAATCTACGTTGCAGTAATGCAGGGCCATGCTAGGTCCTTCCTAAAGTGCAAGCCCTTTGTCGCTCCACTTCCGCATATGGAAATTTATCCTAAGGGAAGAGTCAGGGGCGCAAAGACTTAGGGATAATGAGCTTCCCAGCAGCGCTGCTCAAATATTCCAAAATATTAAAACATGGTGGATGCGTGCAGGAGGATGTTGGGTTGCTGTTAAAATGATGTGGCAAACATTTCTCCATTGATATGAAAACCATATGTGATATGTTACAGTAAAGAGAAACTTTACAGCACGATATGTGTATTACATGATCCCACTTCCTTTAAAATCACACGTGCACACGCGTACACCCGGGGATGTTTCTGAAGTGGTATGTGGCACACCAGCGTTTTAGTAGTGGTGGTCTCTAGGTAGGCGTGATGATGTGAGTTGTGTATGTTTTTCTTCTTATCTTTCAAAAAATGAGTAATATTTTTGTATTAAGAAAAAATACAAAGGAAGAAAAGGAATGTCAGTTTATGGTCACAGGGATATTTAGGGAGAGGAGTTGGAATTCCAGGGTGGTGGCGAAGGATGTGAGGGTTACAGATTCAACATGACGTCCAGGCTTCTGCCCTGGACCACGGGTGAAGGTTCCAGTGGCCTCTGTCCCGGGACAGAGAGCAGCAAAGGAGAGGGAGATTTAAAAAGATGAAGGTTCCATTCTCCGCCGAGTCGATTCTGAGCTACCCGTGGGACACGCAGGGAAAAACGGTTGGCAGGTTGGTCTGGATGGAACAACAGAGGCCAGCTCCAGAGATGAGCCTGGAAATTCACAGATGACGATGGTAGTTGGCACTGTGGGGGATGGATGATGTCACCTGGAGCAGTGTCTGGTGTGAGAGTGGAGCTGAGAACCTCAGCTGAGAAAAGGACCGTGTGACTCACCCTGAAGGGCCAGCAGAGAGGGAGATACCAGCAAAGCCCCGGGGAGGGGCCGGGGAAGCCAGAGCAGGAGGAGTTTCAAGAAGGGAACAGCATAGACTTGACCATGTCTTCTGGAGAGTGCTGGCACGTCTTGGGTGTGGGTTCTGTTTATTTGCATGGGATACGTTGGCAAACCCATCTAGAACTCTGATTGTATGCCTGGCCCTACTCGGAGCCCTTTTCATCTCAATCCTGATTTAATCCTCATGACAACCTGATGAGGCAGGTACTATTACTGTCCTGATTTTATGGATGGGGTAACTTGGGCGCAGTGATATCAGAGAGCAAGTAAGTGAGGGAGCTTACTGCTCCGGGCCTCACAGAGAGTTGGGGGGGAACCCAGCCTCAAGGGTGACAGCTGGCCCTGAAGCCTGTGCTCTTCACCTTCGTAAAGGTGCCAGATGTCCTTTCGTGGTCATTATGCAATGAAAGTCCCTGACCGCCTATGCTGTGCCTCTTTAGGTGTCTAACAACAGTGCTGTTGTAAGTGTCTAACAACAGTGCTACTTGGGAAGACAGTGTTTGCTCACAGTGTCTGCGGATTACTCTAGAAACCTTTTCTAAGCCCCTAGCGTATTTCTGGTTTCAGGTCATATGGCTTCTTTCTTCTTTCCATGCGTCACAGCTGACTTTAGTGCATACCTGTTATCACTTAGCATCCGCGATCTCACCTGTGTTACTTCCCGGCTTTGCTTAAACCGCCTGCCTTCTCTTCAGAATGCCCTTCGAAGCTGGGTGCAGTGGCTCACACCGGTAATCCCAGCACTTTGGGAGGCTGAGGCAGGTGGATTGCCTGAGCTCAGGAGTTCGAGGCCACCCTAGGCAACATAGTGAAACCCCGTCTCTACTAAAATACAGAAATTAGCCAGATGTGGTGGCTTGCACCTGTGATCCCAGCTACTCAGGAAGCTGAGGCAGGAGAATCACTTGAACCTGGGAGGCAGAGATTGCAGTGAGCTGAGATTGCGCCACTGCACCCCAGCCTGAGTGACAGAGCGAGAGTCTGTCTAAAATAATAAGAAGAATGTCCTTCCAGTTCTTTCAAGATATTCTTTAAACCTCATCCTCAAATTCCTCTTTTCTTTAAAGCCTCATGTCACTCCAGTCCACAGTAATAATCTTTTCAATTCCTATGGTATTTATCATTTGGGCCTTTAATTTTATAATTCATTAAACGTTCATTCATTCACCTGCCTCACCTTTGTCTAGCACCTCCTTCTTGTCACTAGGTGATAGGAAGATGAAGGAGACCCACCTGCAGAGAACTCACAACCGAGTAAGGGAAGGAGATGAACAATCATCATGGTGTGTTGCATGCTTTCTCATAGGAATGCGTTGAGGGCTTTGCCAGCCTAAGGGAGAGAATGATCAGCTCTCTTCAGAGAAGTTAGAAATATTTCGAACAGAGAATTTGCACACTTGCCTGGCTCTTAAGAATGACGAGGGGCTTGTCAAGTGAAAGATGGAGGTAGGGCGGTGGGGAAGAACATTCAGGGTCAAGAGAACAGCAGTGGTGGAAATGTGGGGGCCCAAAGCACCGTGGCGGGATGCAGCTTTCATAATGATTCACTCATGTCTACAACCGTAACATCTGTATACCATTCTTTCCAGTCAGGTAACCAGTTCCTTGACATTCAGCCAAGTGCCCTTTACATAGTTGACACTGAAATTGAACCCTGACGTTGTTCCCGGGGGTGACGGTTTCCCGAACAGGGGGTAAGTGGACTCACGTGAGTGGCTGTGACTGGTTTTGTTTTTGTGTTTGCCTAGACCAAGGATGCCCTCTTCACGATTCTCCATGACCTCCGACCCCAGGACCGTTTCAGTATCATTGGATTTTCCAACCGGATCAAAGTATGGAAGGACCACTTGATATCAGTCACTCCAGACAGCATCAGGGATGGCAAAGTGTACATTCACCATATGTCACCCACTGGAGGTAAAGGTGACACCTTCTTTTCACATCGGCTTGGCTTTGACATAATACGTTTTCTTTTTTCTTTTTGACTGAGAGACAAAGATTTGAAAGCTGGGGTTGATGGCAGGAAAGGAGACTGCGGGTGAGAGCTTTCTCAGCAGCCTAGGTTGCTCTGAATACCAAATCCGTGCTCTCAGTCTCCAAGTGAGGCTGGTGAAGTTCTGGGGGAAAATAACCTGATAGGTGTTTGGAGGCTTTCCTGGTTCATCTCCTGGATCCTGTTACAAAAAGTCTTGCTGATACAAAAACAATACTGTTTTTGTAAAGGTTTGGGGGTGGAGAATTAAAGCCACACGGACCAGCCAGTGGTTCATGCACAGGGGCAGGTGGAACTGCTTTGCAAAACAAGGCGGGGCAGGGGCAGGTGGAACTGCTTTGCAAAACCAGGAGCCCTGTTGGTAGACCTGCAGCAGAGTGAGTGAAACCTGTATCCGGGTGGCCTGGGAGGGTTGCGGAGGTAAAATGTGATGGGGAGGATGTGGGCTCTCAGCCACTGCACACTTCTCTTGGGTGGTGCCCAGGTAAGGGTGCAGAATGTTAAGAGAGGAAAGACCATAAAGAATTCTGAGAAGAGTGGACAATCAGAGCAGTGTGTTACCCAGCTGTCCTAGATGTTAAGTTCTCCCAACTCAGGACCTGCGCCGTGCTCTTGCTGTTCTCTGTATCAACAGTGCAGTGGACACAGAAGGTGCTCAGTATTGGAGCATTTAGAACAACTGGACCTACTTCCTCCCTGCCCCCTGCCTTACAGGCTCTGTACAGAGACACCACCTCCTGGTTAATTCCACTTCAGTTATCTGGAAACCTACAAAACACTCTTCAGTCTTTTCCCATCTGGAATTTTCCATCTTTCATATATTCATGGTTTCCCAATCCAAGACAAAGCCCTCATTTCCCAAATGAACTTAATTTGGAACTTGATCTTGCTGGGCTGGTACTTTCATTTACACTGGGATTTCCTACTAGCCTCCAAAACAGTATAATCTCGGAACTGTTTTGATGTTTGATGAGAGAAATAGAAGATTGGATTTAATATGATAGTGATAATCTACGGCAGGAAATCCAAATCCACAACACTGTAAAATTCTTGAAGGAACAGATTTCTCTTCATGTTAACATAGCTCCCACTTCCATGCATGGTTCCTGACACAGAGGGCATGCTCAATGGATATTTGTAGATTGGATTTATTTTAGTGGTCCTGCTTACTAGAAGAATGATGTGTGTGTGCTGGTAGAGTGGGGTCCATGGATTAATAAACAGCTTTAGAAAATAGCTGGGCCGGGCGGGGTGGCTCACGCTTGTAATCCCAGCACTTTGGGAGGCCACGGCAGGTGAATCACCTGAGGTCAGGAGTTCAAAACCAGCCTGGCCAGCATGGCGAAACCCCGTCTCTACTAAAAATACAAAAAGTTAGCCAGGCGTGGTGGCAAGTGCCTGTAATCCCAGCTACTTGGGAGGCTAAGGCAGGAGAATTGCTTGAATCTGGGAGGCAGAGGTTGCAGTGAGCCAAGATCACGTCACTCCAGCCTGGGTGACAGCAAGGCTCTGTCTCAAAATAAAAAGAAAAAAAAAAAAGAAAGAAAATGGCTGATGTATGTTAGGGTCTTTTGGACTCCAAGCCTTAGAAACCCCATGAATTTCCTTTATTTTTCTTGACACCGCCTTGCCCTAGCCTCTGCAGGTGAACAGTAAATCAGCCTGCTTCTCTCTAAGATGTGTAGCGTCAGGATTGAGAGCATGGATTTGGAAGCCAGGCTGCCTGGGTTTGAATCCAGCTCCACCTTCTCTGTGCCTCAGTTTCCTCATCTGTAGAATGAAGATAACAATGGAGTCGTTATCAGGATGGAGTGAGCTAAAGCATTTCAAGTGGTTAGAATGGTCCTGGCACATAGAAAGTCCTCTGTAAGCATCGATGTGGCCATTATTTTCGGGTAACCCCTCTCACTGGTGCTTTGATGACAGCTCCTCTCTGTTTTCAGTGGGCAGGAGGTGCCCCCCTTAACATGGGCTTGATGCCAATCCCTGCAGGGCCTCTGGTGGCTGTGTGCCATCGGGAAAGCTAATCCATCCCTCTGCCTGGGCTCTCCTTGGCTTTAAAGTGGAGTGAGAGATTTGGCACCATTGCTGAATACAGACACACAAAAAAAAACAAATGCCAGTTCATCCTTGCCCACACATCCAGGAGCACTAAGAAATTAGACTGGGCCTTAAGAAAGGCAAATTAGGCCAGGCACAGTGGCTCATGCCTGTAATCCTAGCACTTTGGGAGGCCAAGACGGGCGGATTGCCTGAGCTCGGGAGCTTGAGACCAGCCTAGGCAACACGGTGAAACCCCATCTCTACTGAAATACAAAAAACTAGCTGGGCGTGGTGGCTTGCACCTGTAGTCTCAGCTACTGGGAAGGCTGAGGCAGGAGAATTGCATGAATCTGGGAGGCAGAGGATGCAGTGAGCCGAGATCGCGCCACTGCACTCCAGCCCGGGTGACAAAGTGAGATTCCATTTCAAAAGCAAACAAACAAAAGAAAGGAAAATTAGTGATTCCAATGAAATGTTAAATAACTTTCCTTCCATTTGGACTCTGCATCTTAGCAAGAATTACGAACATTTGGTCATGGACATAGCCTTATCTACTTTTTTAGCTAGAAAATCTGGAGGATGTAAAGCCATGGGGGAGATGATCTGGTTATCTCAGATGTGGTACATTTTAATTTTAAATTTTAATTTTTGTGGGTCCGGAGTAGGTATATGTATTTATGGGGTATATGAGGTATTTTGATACAGGCATACATTGTGTGATAATTACATCAGATAAATGAAATATCCATCACCTCAAGCATTTGTCCTTTGTGTTACAAACAATCCAATTGTACTCTTAGTTATTTTTAAATGTATCTTGAAATTAGTATTGAATATAATCACCCTGTTGCACTATCAAATGCTAGATCTTCTTCATTCTTTCTAACTACTTTTTGTACCCATTAACTATCCTTCTGCCCCACCCTCTACTACCTTTCCCAGCCTCTGGGAACCATCATTCTCTTTATCTCCGTGAGTTCAATTGTTTTAATTTTTAGTTCCCACAAATAAGCAAGAGCATGGGAAGTTGGTCTTTCTGTGCCTGGCTTAATTCACTTAATATAATGAGCTCCAGTTCCATCCATCGTGTTGCAAATGACAGGATCTCATTCTTTTTTATGGCTGAATAGTGCCCCACGGTATATATGTACCACAAATGTGGTAAAATTTGCAGGTAGAGAAAAGTGCCTCCAGTCAGGATGATGGATGGTGGTGATGGTCATCAAACTCTTAAGTTTACTACAAATCATGAATTGGACACTTAGAATGGGTGATCTTTTGGTATATAGATTTTATCTTAAGCCATTTGAGAAAAAAAAAAAAAAAAAAGGAAATAGGTGTTCACACTACAGTAAAGTCTCTGCTTTACTTGGTGATGGTGGGATGCTGGTAGCTTAGTTCAGTGGAAGCCTTAGCTAACCCAGAAACCTGACTGTAGCTGGGATTTCAACCTCAACCACCCAACCACCTGTCTCTCCATCCACCAAACAAATACTTGTTCAGCTCCTATCAAAGACACAGGCCCCAACTTTATTTATTTATTCATTTTGCTCCCAAACTTAAATTGTGTGATTTATTTTAATCATAAAGTAGTAAATTTAAGAATACATGGGGCCAGGTGTGGTGGCCCACGCCGGTAATCCCAGCACTTTGGAGGCCAAGGTGGGCAGATCACAAAGTCAGATCAAGACCAGCCTGGCCAACATGGTGAAACCCCGTCTGTACTAAAAAAATAGAAAAATTAGCTGGACATGGTGGCATGTGCCTGTAATCCCAGCTACCCAGGAGGCTGAGGCAGGAGAATTGTTTGCTTTAACCGGGGAGGCAGAGGTTGCAGTGAGCCAAGATCACGCCACTGCACTCCAGCTCGGGCAAGAGAGCAAGACTATGTCTTAAAAAAAAAAAAAAAAGAAAAAAAAAATACAAAGGTGGCTGGGCATGGTGGCTCACACCTGTAGTCCCAGCACTTTGGGAGGTTGAGGTGGGAGAATTGCTTGAGCCCAGGAGTTTGAGACCAGCCTGGGCAACATATTGAGACCCTGTCTCTAAATAAAAAATGAAGGAAAAGAAAACATGGGAACATTCTTTTTTAAGGAAGCAGTAACCTGTAGTGTAACATACATGCAGAGAAATGCACATGTAGTAAGTGTACAACCTGATATGTTTTCATAAACTGAACAGAACCCGGACCCAGATCAAGAAACAGAACATTTAGAACTCATGTTCTCACCCCATGTTTTCCATGGAAGTGTCTATTCTAAGACATTTGAGGAGTAAAGAAAATCATCCAAAGAAAAGCAGGAGAGTAAAACCTCCTGCTGTCCACAGATACCTGCTAATGTCATTGGTGTTTATTCTTCCACCGTTTCTCAGAGTTGAGATTTGTTTTCTATTTTGTAGAGGTTTTCTAAGCCACATATTCCTGATAAAGTTTTTCTTCCCTGTCATCCCCAACTTCATTTTATTTATAAATTTATTTATTTTTATTTTTTCTGTTGAGACAGCATCTCACTTTGTTGCCCAGGCTGGAGTGCAGTGGCACAATCTTGTCTCACTGCAACTTCCGCCTTCTGGGTTCAAGTGATTTTCTGACCTTAGCCACCTGAGTAGCTGGGATTACAGGCATGTGCCACCATGCCTGGCTAATTTTTGTATTTTTGGTAGAGACAGGGTTTTGCCATGTTGGCCAGGCTGGTCTCGAACTCCTGACCTCAGGTGATCTGCCCCCCTTGGCCTTCCAAAGTTCTGGGATTACAGGCATGAGACACCGTGCCTGGCCGGCCCTCAACTTTAATCAGAGCTGTTGCTGACAAGGGCCTCTGAAGGAAAAAGGGTGGCTAAGAGAAATATTTCATACCCCCTTCCTCTGTGGGGTTCTGACAAGCTGAGGTGATCTGAAGGGACAGGAAGCCAGGAAAGGAGGGACGATGAAGGCAACAAATTCATTCTTTCATCAGCTCCACCCAGCCCTGGACAACGCTGGAAGGCATCTGAGATGTCAGCAGCTACCCTCCTCCTCTTCATTCCGTGCCCCTCCTCCCCTCTGCAGCTGTTTCTCCCTGCTCATTCCTGCTGTCCTCTACGCTCAACACCTTCCTGCTCTTTTCTTTTCTTTTTTTTTTTTTTTTTAGACGGAGTCTCGCTCTGCCGCCCAGGCTGGAGTGCAGTGGCCGGATCTCAGCTCGCTGCAAGCTCCGCCTCCCGGGTTCACGCCATTCTCCTGCCTCAGCCTCCCGAGTAGTTGGGACTACAGGCGCCCGCCACCTCGCCCGGCTAGTTTTTTGTATTTTTTAGTAGAGACGGAGTTTCACCGTGTTAGCCAGGAAGGTCTCGATCTCCTGACCTCGTGATCCGCCCGTCTCGGCCTCCCAAAGTGCTGGGATTACAGGCTTGAGCCACCGCGCCCCGCCCTTCCTGCTCTTTTCAAAACCATTCTCAGAAAAGGGCACAGAAGTCACTGAAGCTCAGGTAGTGGAGACTGTTAAACTAAGGTGTCGCCACACGCCTTCTGGAGAAGGTTTGTTACAGCGGGATAGTCCCCGGTCACTTATATGCATCTAGTAAACGATTTGCATTTAGCAAGTTTCTGGATGGCCCCCTGACATCTCACTCCTATGAGCACTTGGGTGGTTGAGCGTGAACTGCAGCTATGAAAGTGCATTCAGGCTGGGCGCGGTGGCTCACGCCTGTAGTCCCAGCACTTTGGGAGGCCAAGGTGGGCAGATCACTTGAGGTCAGGAGTTTGAGACCAACCTGGCCAACATGGTCAATCCTGTCTCTACTAAAAACACAAAAATTAGCCAGATGTGGTGGTGTGTGCCTGTAATCCCAGCTACTTGGGAGGCCGAGGTGGGAGAATTGCTTGAACCTGGAAGGTGGGGTTGCAATGAGTGGAGATCGCACCATTGCACTCCAGCCTGGGTGACAGAGCGAGACTCCGTCTCAAAAAAAAAGAAAGTGCATTCAGGGTGGGGAGGTGAGTGTAGAGGCTTGAGCTGTCCCGTGTTGGTGTCCTGCAGGCACAGACATCAATGGGGCCCTGCAGAGGGCCATCAGGCTCCTCAACAAGTACGTGGCCCACAATGACATTGGAGACCGGAGCGTGTCCCTCATCATTTTCCTGACGGATGGGAAGCCCACAGTCGGGGAGACGCACACCCTCAAGATCCTCAACAACACCCGAGAGGCCGCCCGAGGCCAAGTCTGCATCTTCACCATTGGCATCGGCAACGATGTGGACTTCAGGCTGCTGGAGAAACTGTCGCTGGAGAACTGCGGCCTCACACGGCGTGTGCACGAGGAGGAGGATGCGGGCTCGCAGCTCATCGGGTCTGTGGTCTGTCTGCGTGGGCATGCGAGGCTGCTCGAGGGGCTGAGGGGTGGCTGCGGTGGGAACTCAGAGAGGACTGTGTTGCTGCACCCCAGACTTGCATCCGCTGACAGCGATCACAGCTCATTGCAATGGGAGGTATCACAATGTGTTTTGAAGCCCAGCAGATCAGAGTTCAAATTCGGATCCTCCTCTGTGACTTTAGGCAAGATTTTTTTTTTCTTGTGATAGAGTTTCACTCTTGTTGCCCAGGCTGGAGTGCAATGGTGTGATCTCAGCTCACTGCAACCTCCACCTCCCGGGTTCAAGCGATTCTCCTGCCTCAGCCTCCCGAGTAGCTGGGATTACAGGCATGTGCCACCATGCCAGGCTAATTTTGTATTTTTAGTAGAGATGAGGTTTCTTTCTCCCTGTTGGTCAGGCTGGTCTCAAACTCCTGACCTCAGGTGATCTGCCCGCCTCAGCCTCCCAAAGTGCTGGGATTACGGGCGTGAGCCACTGCACCCAGCCCTAAGCAAGATTTGAAGACAGGCTGTACCTCCGTTTTCTCATCGGTAAAATGAGGATTATGGTTGGTTGCAGAATTTAATGAGAAAATCGCTATATAAAAACACCATGTAAAGCATTGGCACAGTGGCCATCCCATATTAAGTATTTAATGAGCTCTCGTGGATCATTGACATCCTGATATTTCAAAGCACTTTCTAGTCAGTGTACTTTTATCCTACCCTGTGAGTAGTAGAGTACTGTTATCTCCATTTTGAGTACTAGTTAAAAGATACTTTTATTTAGAAGCAAAACCACCAGATAAAACTGGTAAATAATCAGATTATTTTGAGGTGGAGAATAAATGAGATCTTTTAAATGAGAGGTTGGAGAAAACTTAGATCTTTTAAAACAGAAATAGCTTCCCTCGGATATTATGTTGCCACACACAGTCTGCCACGTTGCTGTTGACTGAGCGAAATGCCAACTCCCAGTTCAGCGTGAGGCCCTTGAATCTGCACGGTGGCATATGTGGTATCTACTTAAAAGCAAAGGGGAGGTTTGGGTAGAAATACGGGTGTTTAATAGCCATAATCAAAGGACATGTATTAATGATACATGGAAGTAGAGGTCCCTAAGGTGTGCAGTAAAGACAGGTCCTCGCTTTGGGATTCGCCACCATTTCCTCCCATGCTTAATGAAAGATGTAAATGAAAACACAGATTTGCTTCCCACATTTTAAAAATTATTCAAAGCTAGAGTCAAAGGGGAGAATCTGATGCACTGGATAATGGAATTGAGATTCAATAAGGCATTCAGAAGCAAAAGCAATTATGCTGCAACAAGTCAGCTGCACTACCATTCCACTGAAACTATGATCAATACCCTGCATTTATGAGAACTTATGATACACCAGGAATTTATATGTACATTATCCCGGATGATCCTCACAGAAATCCTAGGAGATAGGTGTATTAGGGTAAAGGCTACGCTGCAGTACAGAGATGATGAGAGGCAAAGGCTGAAATAAGATAGCCATTTACTTCCCTCTCCTGTAATGGTAACAGGCTAGATCCTGCTCCAGAAAGTCATTCAGGGACCTAAGCTCCTTCTGTTTTATTGCTCTGCTTCCCTCAGGTGTTGTCCTTAATGCTATAGGATTGAAATTCGGTCACTATCACTCTAGTTTTCTAGCCACAAAAAGGGAGAGAGAAAAGAAAGCCAGCATAAATTTTAAGCAAATATTGAGAAGTTGCACATCTCACGCCTACCCATATTGCATTGGGAGGACATAATCACATGGCCATTTGTGGCCTTGATGGAGGCTGGGAAATGTAGTTTGCAGCTCGACGGCCAGAGCTCAATTCTCATGAAAGAAGGGGAAAATGGACTTTCGGGGACAGCTAGCAGGTGACCAAAGAAGTAGTGTTAACATCCTGATTTTATAGATAAGGAAACTGAAGTTCAGAGAGGTTAAGTTACATGTCCCAAGACACACAGCAAGGAAGCGACAGAGATGGAAGTCTAATTCCACAGCCTATACTTTGTAGATCTTTTGAAAGGGAATTTTAATTGTCTCCTGACTTAACAAGAAGCAGCCATGTAACTTAACTACAGGAAAAGCAAATGCAAGCAAATGTTATACGCACAAACTCACACAAATCAGGTTTCTCAAGTAGGATGTGCTGCTTAAAGCACATCTGGAATTTGTATTTGGTTCTAAGAAAAAGGTTTTTTAAGAGGTCCTTTGAGAAATGTAAGTGTGCACAAAGGAAATTTACAAAGAATAGTGAGGGAATCTCAAAACTGTATCACAGGAAGAATAGTTCATGAAACTGGGGATTGATCAGGCTTAAAGGAATCACAGCATTGGTTTTTAAGCATCCAAATGTCTGTTGAAATGGATTAGACTAATTCTGTGTTGTTCCAGAGGCAAAACTGAAACCAGTGGGTGGAAATTTCAGGGAGGAAGATTTTAATCTACTAGAAGGAAGTTCTTTCTCATCATGAGAGGAGTTGAAAAACAGCTCAGAAGCCATGTGAGAGAATGCATTCCCTCTCATCAGTGGTGTTCAACCTGCTGCCTCATGACCTCCTGGCAGAAATACTGTGTGGGGTGCCATGTTGGACTTGATCGCTTCTAAAATCAGACTCATCCCCCTGAGAGTCTGCATTTTCCTTTAGGACTGTCCTGCCTGCTGTTGGAGCAGGGCCCTGATCTCCCTCTTTCCCTGTGCTTCCACCACAGGTTCTACGATGAAATCAGGACCCCTCTCCTCTCTGACATCCGCATCGATTATCCCCCCAGCTCAGTGGTGCAGGCCACCAAGACCCTGTTCCCCAACTACTTCAACGGCTCAGAGATCATCATTGCAGGGAAGCTGGTGGACAGGAAGCTGGATCACCTGCACGTGGAGGTCACCGCCAGCAACAGTAAGAAATTCGTCATCCTGAAGACGGATGTGCCTGTGGGACCTCAGAAGGCAGGGAAAGATGTCACAGGAAGCTCCAGGCCTGAAGGCGATGGAGAGGGGGACCCCAACCACATCGAGCGTCTCTGGAGCTACCTCACCACAAAGCAGCTGCTGAGCTCCTGGCTGCAAAGTGACGATGAGCCGGAGAAGGAGCGGCTGCGGCAGCGGGCCCAGGACCTGGCCCTAAGCTACCGCTTCCTCACTCCCTTCACTTCTATGAAGCTGAGGGGGCCGGTCCCGCGCAAGGACGGCCTGGAGGAGGCCCACGGCATGTCGGCCGCCATGGGACCCGAACCGGTGGTGCAGAGCGTGCGAGGAGCTGGCACGCAGCCAGGTACGAGGCACCTGTGCCAGCCAGGTGTGGGGGACGCAGGCCTGAGATGCCACTCACCTCCTCCACAGGGAGCCCCAGCAGGAAGCTGTGTTAGTCCATCTTGCTATAATACTTATAAATAATAACCCAGACTGGGTATAGTAGCTCACGCCTGTAATCCCAGCACTTTGGGAAGCTGAGGTGGGATCACTTGAGGCCATGAGTTCAACACCAGCTTGGGCAACACAGAGAGACCCTGTCTCTACAAAAGAAAAAGAAAATTTAATTATCTATGTATGGTGGAATGCCTATAGTCTCAGCAACTCAGGAGGCTGAGGAAGGAGGATCAATGGAGCCCGGGAGTTTGAGGCTGCAATGAGCCATGATGGTACCACTGCTCTCCAAACTGGGTGACAGAGCAAGACCCCGTCTCCAAAAAACAACCAACCAAAAAGCAGTAACGCTGTGTAGAGCTCGTAGTCTTCAGAGAGTATTGTACACTGTTGTACGCACATTGCTATACACTGTGGCTGTCTAGAGAAATGAGAAAAAGGTGGCATTTGAGTCAGAAATATAGCCTAGTGAGGTCAGTCCATCAATAAACCGTCAATAAACTGAGTGCTTGCCAGGTTTCAGGCATGGGCAGAAGCACTGAAATGAACATACCAATGCCCATTTTTCAGTACCTTTCTGTATTTTCAAGCACTTCAGAGTTATGTAGTATAATTTAATTGTATGCTTGATTTTATTTCCCCGAGAGCACGTGGGAAGGACCAAGGTACGGATTCTTGTAAGAATCCGATCTTTACATGTCAGTCTCTGAGAATCCGAACAGAAGCAGGCACGGTCAGTCTCGGTGCCATTCTGCTGGGGGTATGAGTAGAGACCAGAACGAGAAAGGAAACACAGTGAAACCAAAGCAGGGCATTGTATTCCTGGCAGATCTGCTTGTGGAAAATCGCGTTTCATATGCATCACATTTTTTTGGGTTCCTGTCAAGTTCTGTCTCCTAGGAGAGGAAACAGGTTGATCAGGCCCTAGTCCGCACCCCACCAATGCTGTCCCATTTATTCCTCACAGTCTAAAGTCTTAGAAAGACCTGGGTGTGGAGAAAGCATGCAGTTAGGATTCACCAACCTTCCTGAGCAGCTGTGAGGCCTGAGGCAGGTGTCTCAACCTCTCTGAGCTTCCGTTCCCACTCCCCAGCCCTGAACACGGAGATAATCATAATTTCCCTGCAGGGCTGTTGTAAGGACTACATATGGAATGCCATGGGCACACAGTGAGTTTTGCACAAATGTCAGACACGCCTTCCATGGAGGCACGGAATACCAGAAATTTACTGATAAGTTCTGTCCCCGATAGCGAGGTTACAGTTGATGCGGCTATTTCAGAAAGGATGGAGCTTGTCTTGGCAAAACTTACACAATTTTTGCTGTGATTAAAAGCATGTGGCAGGATGCCATCACTTTCTACTCATGAGATCCATGCCACATCCAGGAAAAATGGCTTTCTGAATAAGATCTTGATGACAGGTCATCAGCGCAAATCTCCACAGCTTCAGGAGAGATCAGACCCAGGTGATCTCTGTCCAGAAAGACAGAGGAGATAACCAACTGATTACTCAAAAGGGTTTTTTGTTTTTTTTTTTTTTAAAGAAAATTCTTCCTTTCCTTAAAGCTCTGATGGTTTTTAAATTTAAATTTAAATTTTTTTTGAGAGTTGGTGGCAGCTGCCACTCCTCAAAGCAGTCATCCAGTCATCCATCCTCTTTCCTGGCAAATCTGCGTTCTGCCCAGATCACGCTGGTCAAGACCAGTCTTGAGAAGCGGGTGCTTCAAGAACGTTTCGAGGCCTCACTGGTTAATTTCTGGGAGCAGTAAAAACCAGAGAAGAGGAGCACAATTTTGCTAGTACTAACAATTTGACATAAGTTATTGATTTTATTTATAGATATTAATTACTTTTAGGTTATTCTTTCATTGAATATTCAGAGCACCAGTACTTTGAAATACAAAGTGTTTCAAAATCTTCTGCTTTGTGAATTCCGCCGCACACGTAGCTACAGACACTGGATTATAACTGTACCTCTTTTTTTACATTGTTGTTTGTTTTTGTTTTTGTTTTTATCATGAACGTAAAATTTACCACCTCACCCATTTTTAAGCGTACAGTTCAATGCTGGTAAGTGATGTTAAGTATATTGACACTGTGGTGAAACAGATCTCTAGAACTTTTCCATCTTGCACATCCAAAATTCTACAGGCCCACTGAACAACTCATTTCTCCCTTCCCCTATAAATATATCTCAAGTGTGATAAAATATTTTCCCCTATAATATACACAAAAATAACAGAAAAGAATAGTATCTAATTTGTAGAAGAATAAAATAATCCTGCACACTTTACACTCCACTTGTGTAGCTTCTATTATTTTCTTTTCTTTTCTTGTCTTTTCTTTTTTGAGACAGTCTCACTCTGTTAACCAGGCTGGAGTGCAGTGGTGCAATCATGGCTCACTGCAGCCTCAATCTCCTGGGCTCAAGTGATCCTCCCACCTCGGCCTCCCAAGAAGCTGGGACTACAGACGTGTACCACCTTGTTGGGCTAATTTTTTTTTTTTTTTTTTGGTGAGACAGGGTGTCACTATATTGCCCAGGCTGGTCTCGAACTCCTGGGTTCCAGTGATCCTCCCACCTTGGCCTCCCAAAGCACTGGGATTATGGACATGAGCCACCATGCCTGGCTTTACTTTTGTGTTTTGAGGCCAAGCTGCCTTTTTAAGACTGATGATGTTTTAAAGGGTTTTTTTTTATTCTTTAAGCTATTACAAATGTACCTAAAAGCTGTATTTTAGTCATTTCTACTCTCTCCCTTTGTACCTCTCTCTTCATCATCTTTAATGAATGATCGTGATGTTCTCTTCCTTCTCCTTTTTAGGACCTTTGCTGGAGAAGCCATACCAGCCAAGAATTAAAATCTCTAAAACATCAGGTAAAGAAAAGGATGCGGTTGTGTGTGAATTGAGAGTAAGAGATGTTTAAAAAGTCTGAAACCAGGCCAGGTGTGGTGACTCACGCCTGTAATCCCAGCACTGTGGGAGGCCGAGGTGGGTGTATTGCTTGCAGTCAGGAGTTCAAGACCAGCCTGGCCAACATGGTGAAACCTCCTCTCTACTAAAAATACAAAAATTAGCCAGGTGTGGTGGCAGGGGCCTGTAGGGGAGGCCGAGACAGGAGAATTGCTGGAACCTGGGAAGTTGAGGATTCAGTGAGCCAAGATCACGCCACTGCACTCCAGCCTGGACTACAAGAGTGAAACTCTGTCTTTAAAAAAAAAAAAAAAAAAAGTGTAAAACCAAGAATTCCATGAAGTCAGTTAAAAATACCAGCTCATTCAGCAACGTATCAAGCCCACAATGTGAGGCAGAGCCTGAGAATTGCAGCTGTCATGAAACCATCGCATAAACACTGTGGAGATAGCACAGTCCCCAGGAATCCTGGCAGGAAACCCGATGGAAGAATAGATGGGTGGCAGAGGCACATTCTGACCCTTATTGAGTTTGGAAGACATTGTTTTAGAGATCCGGAACGTGCAGCCTTCCAGCCTCTGCTATGACAAACATAAAATGGTGCTACCAAAATGAAAACGTCTGGCGTGACAGGCAGGCTTTGTTTTTGTGTGCATTTTTTTCAGTTCGTGGTTTCGGAAGGGAAGAACAGATTTGTTTCAAATGTCATGAAGTTTCCTTTTGCCAGCTTCCTGGGACTGTCATAAAAATTCAGAGGGAAGAACGACCTATGACTGGGCTTTGTTCTGCTGTGTCCACGTCATCCTCTGGAAGTCTCGATTATGGCCTTTCTGCTGCTGTGCTGTACGTGCAAGCTCCTAAAACCAGGGACATCCCAGAGATTAGCCGTGGATATACAGTCTGCACAGTCTCCAGGAGACGGACTGTAATTCCTTTGAACACACACGTAGGCTTTATGGAATGCCAGAAAAGCTTCCTCTTGGATGCTGCCTGGAGTAATGCCTTTTTGACCCCTCCCTACTTTTTTGGATCAAGCACTATCTTTCCTTGTAAAGAGATTTGGACGATTTGAGTAGAAATGGTGTGGTATGTGCACACAGAAACTCTCAGAAAACTGTCAGATGAGCTAGATGGTTGCCCTCTGTCTCCATGGGTCCTGCATCCCGAGGATCAAACTAAGAGCAGATCGGAAATACGTGAAAAAGGAATTGCATCTGTATTGAATGTGCACGGACTTTTTTTCTTGTCTTTATTCCTTAAACGATACAGTGTAACACCTATTTACATCGCATTCCCTTTGCATTAGTTGTTATAAGTAACCTAGAGATGATGTAAAGTGTATGGAAGGGCTGCGCGCAGTGGCTAAAGTCTGTAATCCCAGCACTTTGGGAGGCCAACGTAGATGGATCATCTGAGGTTAGGAGTTTGAGACCAGCCTGGCCAACATGGTGAAACCCCATCTCTACTAAAAACACAATAATTAGCTGGGCATGGTGGTGCACACCTGTAATCCCAGCTACTCAGGAGGCTAAGGCAGGAGAATCGCTTGAACCCAGGAGGCAGAGATTGCAGTGAGCCGAGATTGCACCATTGCACGCCAGCCTGGGTGACAGAGTGAGCCTCCATCTCAATAAATAAATAAAAATAAATTAAAAATAAAATGAAGGCTCTGCGAAGGTTACATACAGATACTACACCATTGTATGTTGGGGACCTGAGTACACATGGATTTTAGTATCCGCGGGGGTCCTGGAACTAATCCCCCATGGACACCGAAAGACAACTGTGCGTGCCTGAAAAAACGCCAGCAATGCGGGTGAGAACTTTGATCTCCTCTGGGGGCCGGTTTTTCCCCATCAGCAAAAGACCAGCACCTTGAATTTCTTCATACATTGCAATTTTCCGGGAAGTTGAGGCGCTTCCCAGGGAGAGCAGCCAGATCCTCTCAAGGGCCCTTCTCAGGGATGCTGGGGCAGAAAGGGTTTCTCAGCAGTGAATGCAGGGATGTTAGTTTGTTGCAGCGTGAAAGCCGACTCTGTCTGGCTCATGCCTATACTGTGCACAGCATGCATGCAGACACATCCATGTGCACGGAAAGCAGAGGGGCATTCAAGAAACAAGTTGTAAGCTGGTGCAGTGGCTCACGCCAGTAATCCCAGCACTTTGGGAGGCTGAGGTGGGTGGAATGCTTGAACCCAGGAGTTTGAGACCAGCCTATGCAACATAGTAAGACCCTGTCCTTACAAAAAATAAAAAATTAGCCCGGCATGGTGGCACCTGCCTGTAGTCCCAGCTACTCAGGAGGCTGAGGTGGGAGGACCATTTGAGCCCAGGAGTTTGAGGCTGCAGTGAGCTATGATTGCAGCACTGTGCTCCAGTCTGGTCAGCAGAGTGGGACCCTGTCTCAATAAAATAAAAATAAAATAAACAAATTGCACTTGGAATATAAATTAGAAGGTAAATTTCCAATCTAGTAAGAGAATTGATATAGATTCTCAAGAAATCTTTTATCTGTATAATAAAAGACAAGACTGTTCACCTTTAACAGGTGAAAATGAGGACAGACAAGAACTGTCAGCTGAACTTTGTGGTCTCATCTGTGGACAGAAACTTCAGAGCAGTGAAGTCGGTGTGACCCAAAGGAGGGGTTTCCGCCAGTACCCTGACTGTGTGCCTGGCCACCTACTCACTTTTTGCTTCGCTTGCCCCTGCATCTAAGCTGGGCATGGCCCTCAGTGCCTGCGTGCAGGGGTGGCATACAGCTGACGCTGCGAATGAGCCTGGGATAGCCTATGGCTTCCTGGGAGAAGCAGCACGGTAGATCTCCTGTCATAGGCGAGGAAAGTCCTCTGCGTCTCTGCCAGTAAAGGAGAAAGCAAATAGCAAGGGATGTCTGCCTGGGAATGGAAGCATGGGGACTGAGTGCCAGCAGAGGGTGTGTAGGGATCTCTCTTTCCTTCTCCTCTCACCTCTGGAGGCTTAGGCATCTATACTGAGCTTAGGTGTGATGAAAGGAGCTTTATATTGGAATTTAGAAGACCTGAAGTCAAATGTTTACTGCGAACTCACTGGGCAATTTTGGGGAATCGTTTCCCTCCCACTCATCTTCCTCATCTGGAAATTGAGGACACCTCCTTCCAGTATCATTTTCAGGATTCAATAAAATCATTCATTGGCGTGAACCTGGGAGGCGGAGCTTGCAGTGAGCTGAGATCGTGCCACTGTACTCGAGCCTGCAACCTGGGTGACAGAGCGAGACTCCGTCTCAAAAAAAAAATAATTAAAATAAAATAAAATAACATCATTCATGAGAAAATAGAGAGTAGCACCTACACAAGGAAGGTACTTAATAAGTGTCTTTCTTTTTCTCTCCTTTTTCTTCTGCTCTGGCAGTGGATGGCGATCCCCACTTTGTTGTGGACTTCCCCCTGAGCAAACTCACTGTGTGCTTCAATATTGATGGGCAGCCTGGGGACATCCTCAGGCTGGTCTCTGATCACATGGACTCTGGTAAGTTCTACCTTCCACTGTAGCATCTGGGCAAGGACAGGTAGGTACTGCATC